AAAGAAGTTCGTTGCAATACCTATACCGTAAGATTCTTTAGATTGCTAATGATTTGTGAATTCGTTTATTCCTTTTGCAGGCGTCTCTCATAACTAATCACAACTATCCTGTGGAGGAGCACACAGTCCACACGCCAGACGACTACATACTCACGATCTATAGGATACCTACCTCCCCCAAGCTGCAGGCACAGAACCAGACTCAGGAGAAGAAGAAGCCGGTGGTATTCCTGCAGCACGGCATCCTCTGCGCCTCGGATGATTGGATCATCAATGGACCGGAGACGTCGCTCGCCTACATGTTCGCCGATGCGGGCTACGACGTTTGGCTGGGCAATGCGAGGGGCAACACCTACTCAAGGCAGCACAAGCACATTCATCCGGATACATCGGATTTCTGGAAGTTCAGCTGGCACGAGATCGGCGTCTACGATCTGGCGGCGATGCTGGACTTTGCCCTAGCTGTGAGCGACAGCAAGTCGCTGCACTTCGTCGCCCATTCGCAGGGCACGACAACCTACTTCGTGCTGATGTCGTCGCTGCCTTGGTACAACGAGAAAGTGCGAACGGTGCATTTACTGGCGCCGATCGCCTACATGAGGAACCATTCGTTTATACTGTCCAAGCTGGGTGGGATGCTGCTTGGCTCGCCCTCGGTGCTCAGCTGGGTGCTGGGCAACATGGAGCTGCTGCCCATTACGAGCATCCAGAAGATTCTATGTGAACATGTCTGCTCGGTGGGCTCCATGCTGAAGTTCTTGTGCTCGGGCCTGTTAGATTTCATTGGCGGCTGGGGCACCCGGCATCTAAATCATGTGAGTAAGACCCTCTCGAGGTCTGTCTATCAGCACTAACTCTCATTCAATTCTTCTTCATACCTCAGACGCTACTCACAGACGTTTGTGAGACGCATCCAGCTGGCGCGTCGACTACTCAAATTATCCACTACCTGCAGCTATATACATCAGGCGACTTCAGACAGTACGATCACGGCAAGGAGCAGAATGAGATAATTTACAGGCAGGCGGAGCCCCCCTCGTATAACGTGCAGAATATCAATAGTTGTGTAAATATGTACTACAGCGATAACGATTACATGTCTGCTGTGGAGGATGTTGAATATTTGGCAACGTTGCTACCATGCGCGGAGCTCTATCGCATTCCCTATAAGGATTGGAATCATTACGATTTCCTTTGGTCCGTCAATGTCAAGGAAGTGATAAACAACAGAATAATTGATAAAATGCACAGATATGATATGGAGCACGATGCGGCCATCAGTTTCTAGCGATTCTACAATAAAAGCTAAGTCAAATCCATAAACGGAAACCTAATTGTAAATACGTGTAAATAATACGGTTAGCAATGAGCGTGTGCGTGATATACATGGTAATAATTATTGTTTAAGTTGCAAAAGGTTTGTGAAATGCTTCAAGCTAACATTATGTAGTTTTTAATACACACTCTGTTACAAAATATACAAAGAAAAACATTTTTGAAAATACCGCCAAACAAAAATATGTTATTATTTACCGTTGCTGTACGGCAGCTAACAGAAGCTTTGGGTTTAACAGCTTGCGTTAAGGAGAAGCGAGAAATATTTCACTTATTTTTGTTAGGTCTTGCTTTCTATCAGGTAAAAAACATATTATATGCAACAAAAGATAAAAAAAACAGCAATAGATTCAATGTGTATATAATTGTCATATACCATTCAGTTCAAACTTACCGCCAAGATCGCAAATGTAATCGATAGTCATTTAATTAAATATATTACAGTTAACAGAATTCTCACTTTCCATTCGTTCCATTAACGTAACCGCTTGAGTAATTAACAGTGTCAAATGCATTTGTTTCTTTAAAAAAAATACAGTTATAATTCAACTTTTTTATTTATATTTAAATCTATCGAACAATTCAGTATGTTATAAATAAAAAATATACAATATGTTATCAGTGATTTAAATTCTGTTCGAATATAGTTGAGAGAATCTGCTGTTAACAGAGAGCTCTTCACGCACCTGACAGCAGAATCACTTAATAGCAGTCACTGAAGTTTATAACATTTGCATAAGCAAATGTTGCATTTATCATGCAGTTAATTTTTCGGAATAATTTTCTTCGATATTAATCTTTTTCAGCTATAGAAATTGTATACTTATATAAAATTTTTCTCGATTGTTAACCAGAGGTCAGAAACAGAGATACCGTGACACGTAACAGTTACGTGAATACGACGCTCATCACTAATATGTATTCGCTGAGTGTATAACGCAAGTAGTTAAATTTTTTCACAGTGCTGCTACACAACAACAAATAACGGTGTGCATAAAAATCACAGAAATATACACGGAGAAAAAACTTCAATAACTTGCATTTCAATAACAATAATTGTTGAATTCATATGTAGCGGTTCAGAACGAATTCGACATTCAGAATGGGTAGGTCTAACGAAGACAAGCATAATTACTTGTATATTTACGTCTAAGCCGCGGTGCTTGGGCTCTCCCCTCCCCCATCCCTTCTATGCGTTGCAAGTAAAGCCAGGGCTGCATTTGTATATCTAAGAATAATAAATAAATAAGAACAAAAGTATTCGCAGTGTGTTTTGTGTGTAAATCAACATTAACCAGGTTGATTCACTCTTGCAGCAGCACAATCAGTGAACGCTGGTCAGAAAATGTTGGTGGAAATAACAACGGACGGCATACCGAAGCTTCACTGTCCCGTCTGCAACAAGGCGTTAATTTCGCTCGCCGGCTACGTGAAGCATGTGAAAAAACATGAGCCACCGGGTGGCTTCCGGTGTCGCAACTGTGAGCTTACGTTTTGCCATGAAGAGCAGCTGAAGGAGCATCTGAGGATTGCACACAACGCCTACATCGAATGTCGCCTGTGCCACAGCCTGTTCGGCAGCGAGGTGGAACACGAGGCACATATCGAGGAGGCGCATCAGGAGCGTAAATTTAACGTGACCCAGGATCAGGAGCTCTTCAAGTGCGAGGTAAGCTTTCCACTATAAATCCTTTCCAATTGAAATCTCGAGTGTTTTTTGCAATTCCAGCTGTGCGGCAAGAGCTTTGCAGATCGCGAGAGTAGTGCGAAGCATCAAGCCGAGCACGAAGAGAAACTCAAAGGGAGCACCACAAACCAGGCCAAGCAGCAGCGGAACTGTAGACAAGGTTGTGGGTGAATCAGATGCCTCTGCTCCTCAGCTCAATTCTAATCCCACTTCCTTTGCAGTTCCCACTCCTGCGGATGCACCTGCGAACGTAGTCAAACGAAAGCGTGGAAGACCTAAGAAATGTCCAGTGCCAGCCTCAGAGGACAGCGACGACGATGTTCCGCTGGCCAGCAGGCTAAAAGTTCAGGCGCCTATGAAACTGAAACAAGAGTTCGTTAGCAGCCAGGAGCTAAGCGATACGGATGAGGAGTATCCCGACTTCGAGCCCAACAACAGCGACGAGGAAGCGGATGCGAATCAGTTTAAGCTACCTCCTCCAGCGCTCGTCAAAGAGGAAGCCATCGATCCCGACTTTGAGTATCAGGATGCCAGCGCCTTCGTTAAGATGGAGGGCAGTAACGGATTGGACATCTACAGCAATGAGAAGGATAAACTCCTGGATGTCCTGCTCAACCAGGACGAGAGTATGAAGCCGTACGAGCATTTGAAAGTGGAGCACGCAACGGGCATATTGGACGAAATCGCCGCTGTGCCCATGGCCAAGCAGAACGGGGAGGACCACATGGAGGAGGATGTGCTAGCACTGCGCGAAACGGAGCCAGACAGTGAGGAGGAGGCTCAACTGCGTCCACTCAGCAAATCCAGTGTAAAGCGCAAATATCGAAAGAGAGGAGCTGCTGCCGCCTCTACGGAGGTCCAGGAAGAAACAACGACCGCTCCTCGCCGTGTGGCCAAAATAACCAAAAAGGAACTGAAGGAGCGCCTAAAAATGCTGAGTAAAATGGAGAAGACGTGGCAGTGTCCACACTGTGTGAAAATCTATCACATCCGCAAGCCATACGAGAAGCATCTGCGCGACGACCACAAGCTAAGCGAACAGGCTGTCAAGGAGCTCTTCAAGGATGCGGATGCACATGCCAAGCTGGATGAGGAAGTGTTCAAATGCAAAATCTGCAGCAAGATCTACTTGGTAGAGAAACGCCTGGAGACGCACATGAAGGTGCACGGCAAGGACGGCAGCCTGATCCACAAGTGCCCCTGCTATTGCAACCTGTTCTTCGCCAGCAAGGAGCTAGCCACACAGCACGCCCACCAGCAGCACAAGGAGCTGCTCTACTGCGAGAAGTGTGACAAGTACATGACCGGGCATGACAGCCTGAAGAACCACGAGAAGAACTACCATGCCCGCAAGGAGCCACGCAATCTGCCGCGGAATCTGATTTGCGATAAGTGTGGCAAGAAATTCACGGGGCGCACCTCGCTCTCGGATCACGTGCGCTCCGAATGTGGGCGAGTGCCCCTATACGAGTGCAGCGTTTGCTGCAAGCGGCTCTCCACAGCGGGAATATTGAAAACACACATGCTCCTGCACCAGTCGGAGACGCCGTACCAGTGCGACAAGTGCGGGAAGACGTTCAAGGTGAAGGCGCAGTACAAATCGCACTTGAAGACCCGTCACACAGACAACAAGCCCTACAAGTGCCATGTGAGTATGCAATTGCTGTTAATGTTAAGGCTCGGCCGTTAATGGCTGTCTGTTGTCTGGTCAGTGGTTAAAGAAACGCTTGCTTTTCAAGACGATGGCTTATGCTCCAAGCTTATTGTTTATTATTTCAAATGGTTTTTAGTTAATGCGTAACGGTGTTTTTAGAGTTGCACTACTTTAATAATTAGTTGTCTAGTATTACAAATTGTAGCACATCTGTTAAAATCTGTTCGAGCTGTTTTTTTGCCAAGAATTTCTGCTCCTAAAACGAACTCCCAGAAGACTGCGCAAAGAGAATCATCGATACTTTGAGAAATAATGAACTGTTCATTTTGCGCTTTGAAATCTTAATTTTATATTTTATTAATCTGCTGATATGTTTATATCTTACACAAAAATAACTATGTATAGTTTTTAGAATAAGGAATGACCAGAGCGGAGTTAATCCACAGCTAATCTACATTTAAGTTTCTAGTCCATTAAATTTTAACTCTTGATTGTTTTTCCATTGCAGCTCTGTCCCAAGGAGTATCCATATCGGGAAAGCCTTTTAACCCACATGACTGTGCACACGGGCATCAAGCGCTTCCTTTGCAACAACTGCGGCAAACGCTTCACATGCATCTCCAATCTTCAGGCGCATCGAAAGGTGCACGCCGACACCTGTGGGCAGCTGCCCCTGAATGCGAAAGCCACGCAATATATGGGCGTGCAGCGGGGCAAACTGCTAATGGGAGCCAAGCCAGAGGCGGGCATGGAATACGAGGAGACAAAAACTCTAATTGCCCAGGATGTGATCGATCGGGACATGCCGATGGCGCAGGAGCTGAACTTTCCATCCGATGGCAGCGCGCCGCTGGCAACGGTTCCACTCAATTATGCTTCATCACATCTGGTGCCGCACATTGTGCTGCAGACGATGCAGGCTGAGGCAAGGACACAGGATTAGCTTAGGTTTTAAAAAATAAAGACGCTTTTTGTATATTGAGTAAGAATGTTTTCACTCACGTACTAACTACGGGCATTAGCCTAGTTCTAAAGTCTAGTTTAGTCTAAAATACGGCTGCTGAAAGCGTCCAATAGGCATGCGTCCCTTTCTGCGAAGCCTTCGCACAGCTTCTCGAATGAATTTTGGCTGCAGTGCACCTGATTCGCCTTGTTGCTCCATTACATCCAGAGCTGAAATGCAGAGAACATAAGTACAAAACAATAGTTTCCTAATTTCATTACCTACCTTCTTCCACCACTTCACCAACGAACACTTTGGCTATGCCCGACATGGCTATAACCACATTTTGAGACACCGAGCATCCGGTTATGGTCTGCATTAGCCTTTTGACCGCAGCCTTCGGAAATGCAGAGCGGCGATACATCTCATAGCGATCAAGTTGCTCTTCCGTAAAATTCGACACTAGCACCCTGTGAGATACTGCTTAGCTAGGTAAGTTAAGATTGGGAATAAGGGCTTACTGCATGCGCTCGCGTTCCTCTTCTTCGAGCTCCTTTTTGGTTTTCAGCTTCTTTTGAGATGGCTCGCCGGAGTCGCCATCTGCATCGCCATCATTTTTGATATCCTTGCCATCAACCTCTGCTGTGTCGGAGGTTTCGCTGTCTTTGCGGCTATCGGTAGCGGTGTTAAAGAATTTTAAATCACCATCATCATTGTCGCTTAAAGAATTTTGTGTGGGAAACAGAATTTCATCCATTTCGTTGAAAGTAAACATCTAATAACTATCGAGCAGCCGCCACAATTTATCGGGGGAAGTAACACCACTAATCATGGTTGTATGACTAGTGGTGGTAGCACCCAAATTGGTTATCAATAATATGTGAACCATTGTGAATGATAGTTTCAATATATACAAATAAATAAATAAAATAAAACAATATGAAAAGCCTAGCAACTATCATTAGCTTTAAGAAATAAATTATAAATGCTCGGTTAAATTACCGTTAACACACGATATACAATCTATCGATCTACTGGACTCGTGCTCCTCTACCATATCTATTATGATTACAAACTGCAATGGCTTCAAATATGTTTGAATGTTTTCTTACAGAATCGATACAGTAACCAGTAAGCATAAACAATCTAGAACTAAAGGAAATTGCCAAAAATTAAATTATATTAGATGTGTAGATGTGTAGTATCGACATCCAAATTTGAAGTTACGTCAAGCATGCGATTGAAGTTATCGTTTGAATGAAATATATCGTGCTTTCAAGGTAGCAACACATCTCTAACCTCGTGCTCTCCTTTCATCGCCATCATTGCTCTGTGGCCGCAAGTGTATTCTATAATTTTTTGCCAATATTTTAAACATGTCAGCAGTGGAAGCATTGAATGTTGAGACGGCCGCAACACTAGTGGCTGGCGGCGACGACGCCAAGAAACAAAAGAAGCCAAAGCCGAACAATAAAAAACTGCGCCAAGGTAAGTGACCTGTCTTCCCTTTAATCTTACAGTTATATGTATGTACATACATATATAAATATATATGTATACATTTATATGTAAATATACATGTATGTACGAATCTGTTGTATACGCTACTGTAAAATAATTGTAGAAGCTGCAGCAAAGAAGATCGCTGAGGGTGGCGAATCGGAAGCTGCGACCAATGGCGAAGCTGAAAAAAAGCCGCCAACTCAGGCGCCGGCATCCAAGAAGAAGAACAAGGGCAAAAAGTCTGGTCAAACAGATCCACCTACTATACCTATATCGGACCTCTACCCCAATGGCAATTATCCGGAGGGCCAGATAATGGATCATCCGGTACCCAAGGATATGGCAGACGATCGCACCGCCAAGGATCGGTTTACGTCGGAGGAGAAGCGTGCGCTAGATCGTATGAACAACGACATCTACAATGAGCTGCGCCAAGCTGCGGAAGCGCATCGTCAGACACGTCAATATATGCAAAAATACATTAAGCCAGGAATGACCATGATCCAGATATGCGAAGAACTGGAGAATACCGCACGCCGATTGGTTGGGGAAAATGGCTTAGAGGCCGGCTTGGCCTTCCCCACCGGCTGCTCGCTTAATCATTGCGCTGCCCATTACACGCCCAATGCGGGCGACACTACCGTGCTTCAATACGATGATGTGTGCAAAATCGATTTTGGCACCCACATCAAGGGCCGCATCATTGATTGCGCCTTCACGTTGACTTTTAACAATAAGTACGATAAGCTGCTGCAGGCGGTGAAAGAGGCAACCAATACAGGCATCAAGGAGGCGGGCATTGATGTGCGTCTATGCGACATCGGCTCGGCCATACAAGAGGTGATGGAATCATACGAAATTGAGCTGGATGGCAAGACCTATCCGATTAAGGCCATTCGTAACTTAAACGGACACTCCATTAGCCCGTACCGTAAGCAATATAAATATATGTTTTTTCTGCAGTACATCAATTGTTAACCTCCTCCACTTTCCTTGCAGGTATTCATGCTGGCAAGACCGTGCCCATTGTCAAGGGCGGCGAGTCTACGCGCATGGAAGAGGATGAGTTCTATGCTATTGAAACGTTCGGCTCCACGGGTCGCGGATTGGTCCACGATGACATGGACTGCTCGCATTATATGAAGAACTTTGATTTGCCATTTGTGCCGCTGCGTTTGCAGTCTTCCAAACAGTTGTTGGGCACCATCAACAAGCATTTCGGAACGTTGGCCTTCTGCAAACGCTGGCTGGATCGCGCGGGCGCCACGAAATACCAAATGGCACTCAAGGATTTGTGTGACAAGGGCATCGTGGAAGCCTATCCGCCGCTGTGCGACATCAAGGGCTGCTACACGGCGCAGTACGAACACACCATTATTTTGCGGCCCACCTGCAAGGAGGTTGTCTCTCGCGGTGACGATTATTAAACTTGATATTTGAGTACGATGTGAAGCAGAAGCGCTTGCATGGGCAGTTCACATTTTATAGCATGCATTATATATTGTACACATATATTAACTACAGTTTATATTTTCAATAAGTTCGATTGCTTGTGAGTGCGTGAGCGGGAGAAGCGTACAGCTATTACAATATACTTGTGTGTTTTGAGCTCTAAGCGAATCACATAAGCCAATCTGTATTTCAAATTTCAACACCTGCTTTTATTATTCATTAGTATTATTATTATTCATTCCAGTGCAGCGAGCTGGTGACTGAATCAATTTTATTGCTGTCGTTTCTTGGTTTGATCCATGCTCTGTAGTAAAAGACAAACCATTTGCCAGTGAGGTAGTAAAATATTTCTATGTAGCTAATTATGCTGAAGCCATACATCAATGATAAAATGCCGCCAAAACGGTCTGCAAAGACATTCAAATTAAAAATCGTTCACTTAAAGGAATTTGGAATACTTTATGAGTTAGTATGAAAATAAAATAGTATGGTATCAAGGAATATCCATATGTCAACCTGAATCACTAGCAAGCTACCAAACATATCAACGCATTGATCTTTAGTTTATAATATTACAAATAGTACTTTTTTGAATTTTACCAAACTCAAATATGTTTATAGCTAATCTTATTGAGATCCATGAGTTTTGCTGTTAAGGGTGAAAGGCAAGCGGTTTTCGTGTATGAAACGTTGAGTTTGGTTGCAGGTAGGGGTCATTGCAGTGGAGCTTTCAGTGATTAATGGGAACACTCTGCTGTTTAAAGGATTCTAGCTTCGTTTTACTTAAATATAAATACCAATGCATCTACACAATTTAAATGATCTGTAGTTCTTTGGGCCTTGTATTTGGTAAGCACACGGATATTGTTCTCTTAAGAACTAGCTTTTAATCAATTCATCAACTAAATCAAGGCTAGATCTAGTCAGAAATAGACTAAGCTGGCAACACTGATGACTTATTAGTTGGTACAGGTATGTGTGGGGTTGTGTGTAAGCGTGTACATACATATGTATGTATGTGCATGTGCTGCAGGCTGTAATCAGTATACTCATTTCAATTGAGAATGGATGAGCAGAGAAAGAATATACGTATGGATTTCGACTCAACTGAGCAGCACAATCCAATCGCCAACCATATCCATTTGTGTGGACTGCGCAAAGCGCAGCTTAAAGAACAATTTGATTATGGACAAGGGGCGATCGTTGTTCAAGTCCTTGCTGCAAGTAGAGATAGGCTCAATTAACTCGGGAAGCGGTCTAAACACAATTCTTCATACAGTAGGCCATGTCCGTAGCCGGATGAGTTGAAGGATCTCCTGAGCGGAGCCACGTTGCTGCTAATCTCGAAGTTAACGCCGTCGCAGCTGGGCAGACAAAGTGGACATTGGGCCATGCTGCTGGCGTCCTCCGCCGCTCCCTCGTCCTGCTCCACATAGGGGTACTCAGTGAAGCCATACCAAACGCTGCGCCACTTCATCAGGCACGGCAAGTCGAGCAGCGAGCAGTAGCTGACATTCAGAGCGGTGCCGGCCATGGGGGATGACGCACAGCCGCAATGCTGCAGCATGCTGTTGATGCGACAGAGTAGAATGCACTCATCCAGTGAGTAGTACGATCTGTAAAGCAGCAGCTACACTTGCTGATTCATTGCATCCATTAGATCCCCCTTCACTCACTGATTCAGCAACTTTCGGCCCTCCTCGGGGAAGTAACAGCGCCGTACTGTGGGCGTGACGTCGCGCACCGCAGCGCTGGAGTCGAAGAACTTCGGCTGCACGGGTATCTCCACAATGGTGTTGTGATCCACGAGTATTTCGCCATGCTTATTGGACTGCACCGAGGCGTAATCCTCTTGCGGAAATATCAGGAGCTGTAAGGCAAGATAAATGAAGTTGCAAATAAACCAGCAGAAAATGTCACCAGAAAATGAAAATGTCGACAAAAGCATTTCTGTTGACCAAGCCAGTGCTCTTAACTTGTATTGCGAAAACCTGTTCTTCGAGAAGTTTGATCTCAGTGCCGCTTAGATGAGTGTCTCAGTATCCTGAGACATATTGTATGCACAGATATATATGTATAGAAGAAAGTCTAGTCCTCGGTTTTCGATATTCTATATTAATCATACTGAGGAGAAGTGGCACTTTAATTGGCAACAAATTAAATATAGGGTATAACCATTTAGAAGAGAAATCTCTGAGCATTAGGAATTTGTAGAATTCAGAGCCAATACCCAAATCCAATCTATAAGATATTAATTTGTAAGTCCTTCCCATTTAACACTAGCAAATGACAAACTAAATGGCTTTATGGAATGGCTATTTTGTTTTCCGTCCGTTCAAATATCCCTTATAAGCGTAATTAGTACGTCGTAATAGCAGCTAAAGATTTGAAGCTTGAAATCGATTCCCATTTTTAAGGGAAGAGAGAATGTGTTATTAACCTTCTTTAATTATGCACAGAAAAATATTCACGCATTTGGCGTGGCATAACAAAAATATCCTGTAGATTTAACTGATTTGGAGCCGAGCCATCAAAATTGGGCAGTTACGTAACACGCCTAACACGCATAGGAATATTCCGAATTGGGAAATTCATATATTTTATGGCTGGCAGCGCGTAGACAGTGACTGATTCTAATTCAGTTCTTACAAGTCTTTTAAGTGAAACAGTATGTAATTTACCCGAAAGGCCGTATTCGTGAAATAGCTCAATGTGTAGTCGTCCTGGTTTGTGTCCTGCAGTACGAATTGTATGCCGTTCAAAACGGAGTTCGATTCAAAAACCACCTGTGGCAGTGCCGCCATTTCAGCATCATCTCGCTCACGCTGTCCGCTGTAAGTGGGAAGAAAT